TTTTTTATAAACTCTGTACTCTTTCAATTTGTTTTGTTTTCCTTCTTTATATTTGATATCTGTTTTATGTTACAAAAGATCCTTGACTAAAGGCCCAACAGCTACACTACATGAGTTGCCCTTTGATTACAACATATCTGCTCCTCAGCCTAGTTACTGCACCACCTTGGCGCTAGGACAAATCGTCGCATGGACAAAATGTTGCAACTCATTTTTACGGTTGAAAACGAAGCGCTATTAAGTCTATGGTATTAGAAACTATGTACACCTCGGATATGGATACTCGATGCACCCTCACCCTCACCCTCATTCTGGAGATGGATGATCAAATGTGAATAGTTCTAGTTGTCTAAGGGACTTTTTAAAAGTAAATGTGAATAGATATAACTCAAGCAAGTCTTTTAGAAAAAGCAAATAGATGTGTCAACATTAGTGATAAGAATAATTATTTCTTTATCTTCTTTTGTTTTATATGCATCAAGGTTATCATATTAAGTACGAAACCTCATGACATATTTGGAATATAATTCTTCTGACAACAGAAATAAGTGATATGTGGTTAAATAAAGAGTATTTAGTAGATAAACTAGAGACAATATATATCACAATTAGATATGTACTGGACCACTTTTTTCGATACCGGCTCCGGTATCTGTTTTATTCCTTGATTTCAGTCCAGTCCTATTAAAAGTATACATATTAGGAATCGTTGGTAAGGTGTGTAGAGAAAAGATATATTTATGAAATAAACTTCTCTTGGTGAGTTGTGAAGCTTTTCACAGTGATATACTTTGATCTGTTTAAAAACCTATTAGATGATGAAAAGAAAAATCCAAGAGGCGCTTATTCATTACAACTCATCCGTTATTTTCATAAACGTTTTAATAAATTAAAAATAGTTACATAATTTAGTTTTATTCTAGTTGTAGTTTTGTATTTTTTAATTCATCTCGAATTCTATTTTGAAAAAAATGAACACCATTTTCCTCTGATGGCGATAAGTATCCTGGTTTATAAATCCCAGCATCAAGGTTCTTTTGTACTTGTTCACAAATCAATTTATCTTCTTTCATAAGATCTATTGTTCTAATCATTGCTCGTTTTGCTGTTGCTATTCGATCTTTCATTTGTGATTCATCCGAACTTGAACGTACAAAATAATCATAAGCTAACAATGTTTGATCTTTACCAATTGGGAGAATATGGTCAATACCAAAATATGTGTCATATAGACCGAGTGTTAAATTTGGATAAATATAAATCCAGAGAAATTTTTCTTGGTCGTTTCCTTGTTTATTTGAAGGGACATAATGAATTGAATATATATTATTTTTATTTGTCACGACATATTCTTTTGCTTTAATCTCGTGATCAAGTCCTGGATGTACAGCATGAACATGATATCCTTCTTGATAATTTTCAACAAACGTTTTCCAATTACAATTTAGTAAATAATATTGAGTTTCATAATGATGATGTTCATTATGAGTAAAATGCGCCATATCATTTAATAAATCATGTAAAAGTGTATTTATCGATGGCTTTTCTTTTGTATCAGATAAATTAACAAAAATAAATTGTTCAGCAAATATTTCAAAGTTAATTTTCCTTAAACTTAAACATTTCTTTTCTTCTGGTTGAAATTTATGATTAAAATTAGGTGTTGCTTTTAATGATCCATCACGAGAATCATATAACCATGCATGATAGTGACATTTAAGTAAAGATTGATTTCCATAAAGTGCAGTTCCATAATGATTTAAATTAATTGGAACAATTGGACCAGCTCGATGAGAACAAACATTATGAAAAGCAATTAATTCATTTGTTAAAGGACTTCGATAAATAAATATTGGATATCCAGCTATTGTAATTGATAAATAATCACCAAGTTTCTTTAATCTATCAAGTCGACCAGCATAAATCCAATTTTTTCCAAAGATATTTTCACGTTCTAATTGATAAACAGTTGGATCATTATAAAGGTATGGGGGTAATGGTCGAAATAGTTCTTTATTTGAATTAATGGTTGTTAACTTTCGTATAAAAGATTTTTGTGTATTTGAAAATGATGTTTGTTTTAACAAACTTTTAACGACGACAACAAACGAACGATTCATTCTAGAGATCTATGGTCAAACGTGGATATTTTTAGTTGCCTAAGGAGGTTTTTAGAGGTAAATGTGAATAGATATGACTTAGGTAAGACGTTTAAAATAGAATATATGTCAACAACAATGATAAGAATGTTTTTTCTTTGTCTTTTCTTGTTTTTCGTGTGATATAAGTATCATACTTCAAGTTACATTTTGACTAGAATTCTTCTGAAATATGAGATCTAACTATCGATCTATTAAGAAAAAATTAAAATTCAGGTTCCTTACTTTTGGGCCATCTTGTATTTATAAAAATTAATACTTAAATACTTACTATTTATCTCAATGTTGTGTATGATCTAGATAAAAGAAAAAAAACACTAGTTATCATGGACATCTCTTGTTCTCAATTATGTAAATATGCTACTCAAATGATTGATTCATCTATATAACGTATTATTCAGTTTGCCTTTATATTTGACCTCGAACAATCCTATCATATAACTGATTCAATTTGAGATTTGGTAGATAATTTTTTCCAATTTTTATTATCTTGTTCAAGAAGTAATCATCAAAATTTCTGTTAATGAAATAATTAATCAAGAAAGAGACACTTTTCCATAAATAATAACATATGAATTGGATATGAATCCAGTTAATAATGAATTATTATTAACAGCAGAACGACAACTACTTCTAATTGATTTATCAGCAATAGAACTTGAATAATACACTTGTTTCGAAAATATATTGTTCAATATTTCAATAATCCTAACAGGTTCTTCATGATTAATTAGAATTATAAAAACACAATTAAATATTGAATATTGAAACAATCATACATTGGATTCTTATGAAGTTTTAATTAATTCTCAAGAAATTAAAAGAGAATTTTTAAAACATGAGACATTTTTCGAAAGAAAATTGCAAGAAAATTTCTTTTTTCAAAATAATCAATCAAATTTTCGATTAACAATAAAAAATTTATCATCTAGAAAAATAGCTTATCTAATAACTAATTCATAATTCAAGTCAACAATTTTCATATGTTGACAAACTTTAGGATAATCATCTACCTTCAGAAGAGACTTATTGACAATGAGATAAAGAAATTTTAAATGGTACAAAATATTAGTGTTGTTATTTATTAAAAAATGACAAACATTTTACAGCAAAAAAACTTCATTAACAATAAATTTTACCACCATAAATACACATCATCATATACAGTGCTGTGAAAAATTATAGACTCACTCTACTCATGTGCCCTCTGTCACTTTTTTTTCTCTATTAATGTTGATTTGTCATTGCAAATTCAACGCCAATATATAGATTCAGATGTGCTTTTTCAATATTTATTGAGAAAAAGTTCATATATCACGTAGTTTCACATCAAAAAATTTTCAAAAAAAAAATCAATGTTTTTGCTTGTGAAAAAATATAGACTCCCTGGAAGCTTTTTCGAATTTTATTCGACCATTGTTTTCAATATTTACTGAATGTTTTACCACGAGCTAAGATACATTGTTTTATACGTCTTGACATTGAATCGACTAATTTCTGACATCGCATTGCTGTAACACCAATCCATAAATCTTCTATCATCGTTTGTAATTGTCCTATATTTGTTGGTTTTAGTTTTTTTAATTCTTTATCNCTAGCTGTCTCTGATATCAAGTGTTCAGACCTAGAGAAAAATCATTTTTACGAGTTGGACTCTCTTTTAGGACATTTCGGATGGTTCAGACTATCTTCCCAATGAAAATGTTTTTTCTGTGCTGTGAATCAGGAAAATCTGTTGAAATGTCTTATAGTAATTATCGGATTGTCACAGCATTATAAACCGCCACTATAAGTGAATCGTTCACGAAATATTGGTTCAATGTTGCCAAATGGCAACATCCGGCCGGAAAGGGTTATGAAGTATTGTTCTTCATTGTTTATAAGACTTGCTTGAGATAGTTGTTCAATCCATAGACAATCTTTTTCATTTAAACTAATAACACCAGTTTTATCATTTGCAACTTGTAAAATCGAGACATTTTTTTATGTCAATTCTTTAATCAAATTTCTCAAAGCATCAACAGTATGATTTTGATTATTGTTCAATTCATATTCCATTAAGTCCAATAAACTATTATGACACTCAACTAAGACACTAAAACAAAACGAAGAAATTTATTTCATATAACTTTTTGGCAGTCAGATTCATAGTTGATGCAAGACTAAAAGGTACTTGGTTATGAGTTGTTCTTTCTCCAATGACATATACACCTTTGAATAGAGCGACTTGAAATCGATAGTTTGATATTCAAGTGCAGGGTATGGGTATGGGTGTGGGTGTGGGTGTGCGTGTGGGCATAGGTGTAGAGAACAGGAAAATTCACACCCACACCCTATTACTATATGATGCTTTTATATCTATACTAACAATATAGTTTCAACTAAGTTGAATTTTTATTTAAATTTGTATTACTAAGCCATTTGAGAAGACCTTTAAGCAAGGTTGAAACATATGTCATGGCAGCTTGTCTTACCTTCACCCTCAAGATTGACAAGATACAAGCAACGTCGAAATGCCTGGTATTGTGGTAGCTATACTCACTCTTAACTACGATTTCTATTTGGACAAGATAATAAAAATCTAAACTTACTTCTACAAACTCAACACTCAAAGCTAGATATTTAGATTCATATTTATCGTTAAAGTTAAATAGTTGTGTAAACGTTTTTAAAAGATTTTCGAACAGATCTTGATTAATGAATGTTTACTTGAGCTTAGTTTTCTTGACCGTATGGAGGAAGTTTAAAGAGATTTTATTGATAAATGCATGAAGAAATGAGATATGCTTCAGTATTGAAAAGTGTCTTTGATGAATATATAAAAATCTTTTCTTTGTGACTTCAATCATCTTCATATTCGATCGGTTGTGGTACAAGTTCAAGTGGATGTTCATGTCCTTTCTTTTCACATGCCGAACACAGATCATGATTACCACATGTAGAACAACGATATCTTTGACCAATAATAGGGCTCATGCTACATCCATCACATGACACATCTGCCCATTCAAATTCATCTGCTGTAGACGGAGCCAAGGTTTCTCCTTTCATCCATGTTTTCAAAGCTTCTATACCTTTACGTTTAACATCATTAACACCATGACGTGATAGAACTTTTCCATCTGATGAAACAATGAAAAATCGTGGAATATCTTCAGACAAAAGAACAATAATTACTATGTAATATTAAGAAATAAAATAAACACTGACAAGAAGATTGAAAATATGTATTGATAAGATGACTTGAGTCTAATGGAACAGCAGGCCAAGGCATTGCTGAACGATATTCATTGAATGATTGCTCGTCGAAATCAGATGACACAAAAACTATACAAAAAGAGAGAGAATTTGCTTGTGCTTCTTTATAAGCTTTTATTAATTTTGGTGTAAAAATCCGACAAGGTTCACACCAATGAGCAGAAAAATAAAATCCAACACATTTAACACCATTTTCCCATATTGCTTTTGTTTCAATCTTTTCTTCACTATTAGGATTAAGTAAATGAGGAACTGATTTAAAAAGTTGTTCGAATGAATATTGTCGTTTAGGTACTAAATATTCAACGAGAGGATGTTCATGTTTAGTCTTTGATAGACATGTTTCACATAAATCTACATAACACTTTTTATCAACACAACCATGTCGTGAACCAATGATTGGACTCATATAACATTGATGACAAATAATACCATCCCAAACGTATTCACCTTCATGTGCTTCACATGACCGAAATAAACGTTTTCCTTTAGACCAATGACGTATAGCTCCACCATTATATACACCACGTATATAATCGACACCGTCAAAGACAGTTACCTCACGTGTAGAAGAAAGTATAATTAAAGTTGGAATATCTTTAATATGAAACTTGTCATGCAATATTTTTGAACGATCTCGATCTAAATAAATACAATCTTATCCAAACCTTCTGCTTGATATACAATTTTCTTTATAATGTTAATTTCACTTATTACTTAGTACAATAAACTTTGGTTACAGAATACATTTTTAAAATTTGAAAAAACAACATCTTTATTGAAACTCCGAGTTTCACTAGACATACTAAAATTGTTCTTTAAGTATTCGCTTAAAATATCTTCTCAAGATTTGAATTGAAGAAATATATTCAACATACCAGAAAAAGGTAATGCTTTCCAAGGCATCTTCTTGAAATATTCATCAAAATCAGCTTGATCTTCGTCATATGAAATAAAAACAATTTCTAATTTATCCTCTATTTCACTATTATGTCCTTTAAAAAATGCAGCTAATTTTGGTGTAAAGTTTCGACAAGCAGAAGACGAATAGGCTCTAGAAAAAAATCAAAATATGTCTTTCAATAGTCTAATAATAAACAGACGAGAAATAAAGTCCGACACTTTTTTCATTAAGTTCATTAGTCGATATTTGATTTGATTCATTGTTGGATTCGTTGTGTTCAAGGAGCTGTTCACCTAACAATTCATTAAAGGTTATTACTTTGATCATAGAAGCAATCTCTACTAATTCATCAATAGTTGTTGTCATGGTCGTAGAATAAATTTGTAATGTAAACACAATATTGCCTAGTTTTATATATAAGAAAAAAGGGGATGCAGTCAGTCACTAGGCGGTTGTGAAATAAAACATGGAATATGCTATGATTCTTTCTTTCTTTCCGTATCGTCTATAGGCTAATTCATTCATTCTTTTTCCTTTCTGTTATAATGTGGCACGCAGATTTTTTGTTGTAAAGGAAAGATATTAAACATCAATGATTCATACTATTGACAGCATATTTGAAAGTTACTAATGCACTAAGAGTATAGATATCGTGCAATGGATTTTGTCGGATGAGTTTTTTATCAACTGATTTCAATTTTTATTTTTATTTGAATGAACTACGTCGAGTTTCCAACAAGTTTCGTACAGCCATTTATAAAGCAGATTACTTTTTGACATTAGTGTCCTCTACATTTTTTTTCTATTATTGACTGTGACTGGCATGCCTCCTTTTCAAGTAATTTGGTTTACTTCAAGTAAAGAAATCGTCTTATGCAGCCACATCCGTATGTATCCTGATATTGCACTTTTTTTATTGCTTCTTATTCTTGTAATATTTCATTTTTTTATAGTTTTGTTTGCTTTTCATGTTTTTGAATTCATTTTTTATTTAAAATAAAAGAAATCAAACATTTGATGAAGATAGCTGAAATATTCAATAACGCAGATAAAACTAAATAAGTTTCACCTGTCATCGCATCAAAATTAGCACATCGGGATTGAATAGTCAATCATGTGTCGAAGTGCAACATGACGATGCTATCCATTAATCTATGTTGATATAAAACAAATTCTCTTTAGAAATAGAATGCTACTATATAAGGAAAAAGAAATTGTTGCACAGCCACATATATTAATTTTAACTTTCGTCAGGATGAATTGTTGATTGCTTTTATATGAATATAATGTTGTGAATCAAATATTTGCTAACTGTAATAATTAATAATGATAATGAATAAGTCAGAATATTCAGTCAAAAATAAATAACAGGATGAAATCTGGTCCTCGATCGAAAGTTTTTAGAAATATAGGATTTCATAGGGTGTGGCTGTGGGTGTGTGAGTCTGGGTGTGGAGTGTGACTGCGGGATGTGGGTGTGACTATAGTTGTGAATCTTTGGTTCAACCGCGCCCACACCTCACACCTACACCCATATCTGCACGTACACCCACCTCCTGACCAGGTGGTATGGCAGGCAAAGGTTATAGCTGTGCTCCATACCTGTACAAGTGACTCTTTTCCTTTCTTCTTTTTTTGTCAAGTTTCAGTAGTGGCGTGAATGACATCAACATGCTAATAACTGTAATCGAAACGAAAACATTATATCTGATTTATTTCTTCGTCCGTTCCACTATTAAGACTTGACAAAGGAAAAAGAATCGATAACTTCTACATACATATAGATGTTTTTTACATGAAACAAAAGTGGATTTTTCTATTCAAGTTTGAAGAAGGACGTGCCCTTTCAAATATCATAAAGTTAATAAATTAAGAGAAGTAAAAATGGTTTGCGAAACAATCATAATAGAAAAACTCATTAGAAAATCTAGCAAAAGCAGTACTATAAATTAAATAGGGTAGTTCCTAGACTTCGGAAATTTAAAAAATGAAGAATGCCTTTTCA